TCAAGCTGCTGCCAATTACGAGTGTGAGAATTATAATACTAGGTAACAGACATCTCACTTGTCGCAGCTCATGGAGGGCGGATTCAATCTCGAAGGATGACGACGTGTTATCCCGACTGGAGTAGAAATCTCGAGTAGGTTCCCCAGAATTTCGTGCGCAGTCTCGTAGAGTAAGAAAGCTCTTTTCCAATCTCGAGAATCATGGAGTTTACTAGCCACGACATGACCATGCTATTTTCAATCTTCCAGGCTTGCACATTTTGGTCGTGTGCTTGTGGCGGTGTTGCCATTGTATTTGTCACATCCTTTCCTCAGATGAACAGCAGCACTGACGAAGACCATTGCAGATAGTTGTTACCGTTGAGTTTGTGGTGGGTGATAAATGATGAAGTCTGTTCCACCGGTCTGGTATTGGTGGGTGTAGGTATATAAGCACCCGAGAGTACTTCGGGTAGAGAGGAATTTTGCTCATCCGCGGCCATCTGAGGATTTGGCTCAGTTGGATTGAAGCTTCTGGATTAGAGATGCTCTGATACTATGAGGATTTTAGGGAAGGAAAATGAAGATTTTCGAGAGGAGAAGGATTCCTATGATTTTCCTTGCATGATAGAATAAGGAGGGTATCATTATATAGGCACCTGGCATCCGAAAAATATCCTAATAGAATGAAGAAGAAAAGAAATATTGTGGTAGCAGGTATCCCCACTTGTCTGCAACAAATTTATACAAAATTACTAAACTATTTTTTTATGATTGTCTACATGATGATATAAATTTTAAAAAGTTTGACACATTGATGACTCAAATTAAACTCTTTATAATTTAAAAAACTAAAATTAAAAAGGTTTAAACATTTAAAACTAAAATAAAATAACTAATAAAATTTGAAGTATAATTTTTTTTTTTTTTCAAAAAGTCTAGGCTAAATAAGTTTTGTAAAGTTTATATTTAGGTTCTTTTATATTAGTCTTGGAAAATCTAATCTAAGCTAGTCCACATGTCCTCTCTACCTGATCCTAGTTAACCGGCCATTAGGTGTCTTTTGTGTTTGTGGTTTTTTATTACTTGACTAATACTCAAACTACGAATATTAAAATTATCAAGAATTAATCACATATATTGAGTCAGAAATTTACCATGCCACAAAATTATACAGATATGCATTAATGTTCAAATTCATATGTAGCGTAATATTTTTTTGACAACTTGAAAATAGTCCTCTCAAGATTCATGCATATGTTCGCAAGCTTGATTTATTGCCAAGGAAATCTCACGACGATTCAAAGTAAGATATTGCAAGGCTTCAACAACACTGCAATATGAAATAAAATTTGAATGCAGGGAACTATAACCTTTACCAATTTGACCACGGGTAGATAGGAGTAGCTAGAGGCTTACTATGATGACGCAATATAATAGTGTACCCATTTTTGTGAGAAATTTAAATACTCAAATATAATGCGTGTTCAGATTAGTCACTAAAAACCTATTTTTCACAAGAAAAGACTCTAACAAGTTGCCAGAAGAAGCAGTGAGGGTAATATCATCAACATAAAACATGATTATAACCATATGAGAGCTATATCTGCACGACTTGGGCTTGTTTAAGACCATAAATACCCTTGTTTAGTTTACAAACATGTAAGGATAATCTGAGTTATCAAATCTCTAAAGTTGCTTCATATAAACTTCTTTTTTTGAGAAAACTATAAAGAAAGCATTATTGACATTGAGTTGTTGAATTAACGAAATAGTATGAATAGTAGAGGTGATGCAGAACCCAGGACTAACATTGTGATCAAAAGCCCCCATATACACATCAGCATGTAGAAAGATTTAAATTTTTAAAATAAACCCTTCTTACTTGACCTACACTTAACCTATGAATGTAAAATAA